GCGTTTGCAAAATTAATGGCACAAATAATTCGATTACGGGCGCAATTTTCCGATAATCCAATTAAGTCTATTAGACTTGATAATGCTGTTGAGTTTTCATCCCAAGCATTTAATGATTATTGCTTATCAATTGGGATAAAAGTAGAACATCCTGTAGCTCATGTTCACACTCAAAATGGTCTTGCAGAGTCTTTAATTAAACGTCTGCAATTGATAGCAAGACCGTTACTCATGAAAACGAGGTTGCCCACTTCTGTTTGGGGTCACGACATTTTACATGCAGCAATGCTAGTTCGTCTCAGACTGACAAATTATCATAAATATTCCCCGTTGCAATTAGTTTTGGGTCATGAACCTAATATATCCCATTTAAGAGTTTTTGAATGCGCAGTATATTTGCCTGTAGCACCGCCATATCGCACCAAAATGGGTCCCCAAAGAAGGTTAGGAATATATGTTGGGTTTGAATCGCCCTCCATTATTCGCTACCTCGAAACATTAACGGGGGATTTGTTTACTACACGATTTGCAGACTGTCGATTCGATGAGGCACTTTTCCCAAAATTAGGGGGAGAAATTGGTGAAACCAAACGGGAAACTTTGTGGAAAAATCCATCATTATCTCATCTTGATCCACGTGCCTCTATTTGTGAAAAAGAGGTGCAAAAGATTATCCATTTGTAGAGAATAGCAAATCAAATGCCAGACGCATTTACGGACTTGAAAAGGATAACAAAATCACATAAATCTGCAGAGAATGTTCCAATCCATATTGATGACCCTATTGGACAATCTTCTAGTGTCATAGCTAATGAATCGAAAGCACGCCTAAAACGTGGCAGCCATTGGGTTCCAAAGATCGAAATCCTAGAAAAAGGAAAACAAATGATCGAAATGACACTACGAAAGAATCTCATGAAGAAATCCACGATTTAATAAACTCTGAGATTCATGAGGAACCCACTGAGCCTGAGACTCAAGAAAATAAGGAACTATTAATAAATCCAATCGATACTGAGACAAATTATAATCGATTGGATATAGTGGTGGATTATGTTTTTGCATATAATGTTACATCTAGCATTATGCAAGATAATGAGGATCTTGAACCTCAATCTGTTAGAGAATGTCGACAAAGACGTGATTGGCCAAAATGGCAAGAAGCAATCCAATCAGAGTTGAATTCACTTGCAAAATGTGAAGTTCTTGAGCCTGTAGTCCAAACACCTAATGGTGTTAAGCCTGTTGGATATGAATGGGTCTTTGTACGCAAGAGGAATAAGAAAAATGAGGTACAAAGATATAAGGCACGCCTTGTTGCACAAGGATTTTCACAAAGTCCTAGTATCGATTATGAAGAGACATATTCACCCGTTATTGATGCTATAACGTTCCGTTATCTCATTAGTTTTGTTGTCCATACAAGCTTGACATGCATTTAATGGATGTAGTTACCGCCTACCTTTATGGCTCACTTGATAATGAGATATACATAAAAATTTCCGAGGGATTTAAAATGCCTTCAAAGTCCAGGGAAATGTTTTCAGTCAAATTGCAAAGATCTTTATATGGTCTAAAGCAATCAGGACGAATATGGTATAATCGTCTTAGTGAGTATTTATTAAAGGAAGGTTATATAAATGATGTCATTTCTCCATATATTTTTATAAAGAAAACAACATCGGAATTTGTTGTACTTGCCGTATATGTTGATGACATAAACCTTATTGGAACTCCTATAGAACTCCAAAAGACAATTGATTATTTAAAGAAGGAATTCGAGATGAAAGATCTCGGAAAGACAAAATTATGTCTTGGTTTGCAAATTGAACATTTGGCAAACGGAATTTTTATTCATCAATCTGCCTACATAGAAAAGGTATTGAAACGGTTTTACATGGATGGAGCGCATCCATTAAGTACTCTGATAGTTGTTCGATCACTTGATGTGAATAAGGATCCATTCCGACCTCAAGAAGAGAATGAAGAGCTACTTGGTCCTGAAGTACCATATCTTAGTACAATTGGTGCACTAATGTATCTTGCTAACACTACAAGGCCTGACATAACTTTTTCAGTTAATGTCTTAGCAAGATATAGCTCTGCTCCCACAAAGAGACATGGAAATGGAATCAAACACATATTACGGTATCTAAAAGGAACTATTGATTTGGGCTTATTTTATGACAATAATTGCAGTCCTGATCTTGTTGGTTATGCCGATGCTGGGTATTTATCTGACCCACACAAGGCCCGGTCTCAAACAGGTTATGTGTTTACCTGTGGAGGTACTGCCATATCTTGGCGATCGACTAAGCAATCACTTGTGGCTACTTCATCTAATCATGCTGAGATAATTGCTATTCATGAAGTAAGTCGAGAATGTGTGTGGTTGAGGTCTATAATACATCTTATTCAAGACGAATGTGGTTTGAAATGTGACAAACTACCCACGATTTTGTATGAAGACAATGCAGCATGCATAGCCCAATTGAAGGGAAGATTCATAAAAGGAGATAGGACAAATCACATTTCACCAAAGTTATTATTTACTCATGATCTTCAAATGAATGGTGATATCGATGTGCAACAGATTCGTTCAAGTAATAATATGACTGATTTGTTCACAAAATCTCTACCAACGTCAACCTTCAAGAAGCTAGTGCACAAGATTGGGATGCGAAGGCTCAAGGATGTGAATTGATGCTCTCATCAGGGGAAATTAATGCGCGTTGCACTCTTTTTCCCTTACAAGGTTTTGTCCCACTGGATTTTCCTTGCAAGGTTTTTAATGAGGCAGCCAAAGGCGTATTATTAGATATGTGTACTCTTTTTCCTTCTCTATAATTTTTTTCCACTGGATTTTATTTTAGTTAAGGTTTTAACAAGGCACGTTATATGTTGAGTAGACATTCAAGGGGGAGTGTTATAAATAAAATTTTAGTTATGGTGAATATCTATATTTAGAGAGATTCTAGGGTTTATTACTTAGTGGCTAAGTCACTCTCTCCCTCTCCCTATAATTAGAGGATTCTATTCCATTATAATTCATCCCAAAAAAATTCAATAAGAATTCTCTCTTTCTCTGCAATATTGTTCTTGTTCTTTTATGGTTTCATAACAAGCACATAATTTTCATAGGATTTGTTGGACGAGCACCATGCGTTAGACGTGTTTAGGGCAGGCACCATGCATTAGACGAGATCCCAAGGCGTTACAAGTACCCTGCCCGCGGCGAGCCCCAAACGAATCCCAAAAAAGCCTTTTAAAACACTGGTTAAGATCACCGTTTAAGGGACTTCCACAACGCATTTCCTCTTGGAAATTTTTAACGAACTGATTGAGCTTCTAGTCGGGAACCAAGGACAATGAAGGCCATGGTAGAGATTTGCAAAAGGTTCCAATAGAAGAACAATACAGAGAGGACAACCTTCATCTACATTCACCTAATGCAATAGGCGAAGAAAGAAAAATAGAAGTGCAATCTGCAGATGCACAAAGAACAAGAATGACATAACTCATTTGCTAATCAAGCATCCAACCATATTCTCCAAGGCACAACGCCACGCTCAGCGGACAAAAGTTGAAATCCTACTGCCGCATATCACTTGTGTCTCTGGCTACTAACAACTACTACTTTACCCAAAAAGTATAAACTGGTAAGCTGATGGCAAGAAAATGCCAACTAGACAAACGAGGTCCGCCCCCTTAATTGCTTATGCCCATGAAGGGCTGCTCTCATTTGCAATATCATACTTGATCCACTTCTGGATCCTTTTCACAACAAAGAAATACTGCCAAAGGTACAGCAAAAGCGGGAGTTGTTAGCCGTACAACAAATCCAATAATTACTAATGCACAAAAAGTGTTTTCAGATTGAGAGCTCACTTGGAATGCTAATATAAAAGGAATTAGCACTTTGCCCCTATTGTTGGGGTTTGGACCTTCAATCAATTTTTGGTCAACCAGAATACCCTTGCTTCCACTTAAAACAACATCTGTAATAGTTTGGACTAAATTGGGTATCCATGCAGTTCCACTTGGAAGTATCTGTGAACAATACAGACCATTTTAAAAAGCTTAGTATACTGAAAAAATTCACAAAAGGATGAAAAATTGAAGAATAAACCTACCTTTTCGTCACTTTCATTCTTGTTGCATCTCCCACTATTCTCAACCAAAACAACAGGAATTGCAGCAGCCTAACAGCAAAGACAGCAATATATCAAAGATGAAAGTATAGTTGTGCAAAAAGCATCACAAGAGCAAACAACTTGGTATCACTGGGAATCCATGTAAACTTGCAAGCAAGATGTCAGGTTCGCTAGCAAAACTCCTCTTCCACTTCCATTCTCTCGCTTCACAGAGGAGACTGATTCTTTGCTATAGGTTTAGTTTTCAATATATTAAATTTAACTATCAAAAAGAAGGGTAAGACAGCCTTTAACTTTTGTCTCAGTCCCTCCCCAAGTTTCTAAACTGAAGTTCAAGTCACGTTTATAAATGCAAGCACAACATATATGTGTATCAGAGAACCTTGACCCCACCCCCCCACACCCCCCCAAAAAAAAAAAAAAAAAAA